AGAAATAGAAAATCTGGATGTTGAAGCATGCTTCATAGTCATACCCAACAGACATATCAGCTAGGTCAGAGAACCAGGGCATCATCTGTGATTCCCCTGAGATAATTTCTTCTCTCTTGTAACCGTAAGAGCAACACAGTGATAAAGCAGAACAAAGCCTGATCCTCCAGATTACTGATTCACAACATAGGCTAAATTCACTGTTTCAGCAGGTTTCTTAAATAGAAATTAGACTATTTTGGAAGAAATAATGCAAACCCAAAAAGTCAAATGGTGATATTTGAGAGGATTCCTATGACAAGTACCCAAAACCCTTGCCAACAGAAGCAGTTCCTCCCCTATCTAATGAGAATGGTTCTGATTTTCTTGAATATCTTGTAACGACCACACCTCAGGTAGTTATCTTCCACAATAATTCCAATTCTCCTCATTTACCACTCCTACCACCTCTTATTGCCTCTGACCTATGAACAGGTGAAACCCTCAAATTTTCTAGGAGGTCATTCCAAAGTCAAACCTTAGAAAAGCAAGCTTATAAATATTTCCTAACATATCAGCAAAATCTCAGTTGGGTGCGGTGGCTCACACTTGTAATCCCACTCAGGAAGACCAAGGCAGGAGGATCACTTGAGATCAGGAGTTTGAGACCAGCCTCAGCAAGAATGAGAACCCCCCAACCCCGTCCTACTAAAAAAAAAAAAAAAAATAGAAATTAGTGGAAAAACTAAAATAGAAAAAATTAGCCAGGCATGGTGGCACACACCTGTAGTCCCAGCTACTCAGGAGGCTGAAGCAGGAGGATGGCTTGAGCCCAGGAGTTTGAGGCTGCTGTGAGCTATATGATGACACCATGGCACTCTAGCCCGGGCAACAGAGCAAGACTCTTGTCTCAAAAGAAAGAAGTCCCTACAGAATGTCATCTCACATGCTTTTTTTTTTTTTTTTTGAGACAGAGCCTCGCTTGTTGACCAGGCTAGAGTGAGTGCCATGGCGTCAGCCTAGCTCACAGCAACCTCAAACTCCTGGGCTCAAGCAATCCTCCTGCCTCAGCCTCCCGAGTAGCTGGGACTACAGGCATGCGCCACCATGCCCGGCTAATTTTCTATATATATTAGTTGGCCAATTAATTTCTTTCTATTTATAGTAGAGACGGGGTCTTGCTCTCGCTCAGGCTGGTTTTGAACTCCTGACCTCGAGCAATCCACCCGCCTCAGCCTCCCAGAGTGCTAGGATTACAGGCGTGAGCCACCGCGCCCGGCATCTCACATGCTTTTGAATAATTCATTTTTCATAGCCAAGTGCCAGTTGGCTATAACCAACTAAGACCAATGTACCACAAAGATGTTCTTTGCTTATAAAAGATATTAATATATTTCAGGCCAGGGACAGTGGCTCACGCCTGTAATCCTAGCACTCTGGGAGGCTGAGGCAGGAGGATCGTTTGAGCTCAGGAGTTCAAGACCACCCTAAGCAAGAGCAAGACCCTGTCTCTACTAAAAATAGAAATTAATTAGCAAACTAAAAATATATAGAAAAAATTAGCTGGGCATGGTGGCGCATGCCTGTAGTCCCAGCTATTCAGGAGGCTGAGGCAGGATTGCTTGAGCCCAGGAGTTTGACGTTGCTGTGAGCTATAATGAAGCCACTGCACTCTAGCCAGGGGGAAGAGAGCGAGACTCTTTCCCTGCCTCCCCGCAAAAAAGAAAAAAATAAATATATATCACACAACCCAGTGCAAATATGTAACTAGTATTGGTAGTGGTGTGATGTACCCTGAAATGAAGTGTCAGAACAGCCGAGTCAAAATAATTTTGTTTCATGTAGATTAACATGAAAAGAGACCCCTGGAGGAGAAATACATGCATTTATAAAAATGCTCCCAGGCAGTAAATCAATGATTATGAAATGCAGAAAATTAATTTTTCTGAACTTAATTTTCAACATCTAGAAAATCAGAGTAAAACCTACTTTTATAATGCTCTATGAGGACTAAACAAATGATAAACTAAAATGTACTAAAATGATAAACTAAAATGTACAACTACCATTAGAGAGTATGTCAGCAAACAAATGTATCATGAGTGCCTATACAGTGCTAGCTAAGGGCCAAAAGTCATGTCTATTGACCAATAACATCATTCAAGAGGTAAGTTTTCCCAAAGTACCTTTCACCATAAGTGGTTTCTCTCTTTTTTTTTGAGACAGAGTCTCACTCTGTCACCCTGGGTAGAGTGCAGTGGCATCATCATAGTTCACTGCAACCTCCAACTCCTGGGCTCAAGCAATCCTCCTGCCCCAGCCTCCTGAGTAGCTAGGACTACAGGTGCATGACACCACACCTGGCTAATTTTTCTATTTTTAGTAGAGACAGGGTCTTGCTCTTGCTGAGGCTGGTTTTGAACTCCTAAGCTCAAGTGATCCTCCTGACTCAGCCTCCCAGAGTGCTAGGATTACAGGCGTGAGCCACCATACCTGGCTTCCTTCCCTATTCTGACCATAAACTGATCTTCAAGTTAGTCCTACCACAAAGCCCATGTCCAGCCCGAGCCCCAGCAAGTATGCAGCAGCAAAAAAGGTGTGCTGCAGGATGATGAAGGGGGGCTGCAGGCAACAGAAAACACAAAGAACATGCTTTCCATGAGCTCCCTAACTCAGATATATTCTTTATCTAAACAGAATAGTTTAGATTTGTGCCACTATTAAAGAATCAATAAAGCTCAGTGGTAAGGCACAGACTATTTAAATTTGAGCTCTGCCACTTAATAGCAGTGTAACTTTGGGCTAATAATTAATAATAGTTAACCTCTCTGCCCCTCAGTCTCATCTGTAAACTAGGGAGAATCACAGGTCTTCTGAGTAGATTAAATGTGTTATAATATAAAGCATTATAATAATGCTTACTACAAATAAATGCTATTATTGTAATTAAAAACAATCAAAAAACTGTTACTGATTTGGTAAACGAGGCATCCTAAAATGTTCAGTCCTGTATCCAAATGTATGATCTGGTTTTTCAGACACCATCTCTTCACTCGCTTCTCAAAGCCCAGCCTTCTCTCACTACACGGCAGATCCAGGCTTGTCCTGCCACTTTCTTTACCAGTCTTCTCTTCTTAGACTTCTCTCCTTAGAAGTAACATTTCACTCCTGCTCCCAGATTTTAAGAATCCTTTGTACCTATATTGTAACACTGGCTAGACTCTGGCTTGCATCAGAAACTGAGTCAGCGTGTTTATCTTGCATGGTTCCCAGCGTAAGACTCCTGTGGGCTGCTTCAGAATCACCTGAGGAGCCCAAGAGGCTCATCAGTAGGGCTGTGGTTCACTTGGACACTTAGAAGTTTTTCATTTCCTTAGGTAATCCAGATGGGAGGCCAAGTCTCGGAGCTACTGCAAGATTTTGAGTATCTACAGGCAAAAGCAGAGTCCTAGTCATTTTTCTGTTCCCCTCTACAATGCCTTAAACTGTGCTAGCACTTAATAAGTGGTTTTAGAAAAGAAGGCTGTTCTTGTCTGAGGACTGCACAGGCCTGAATGCTTAGTGATCCTCAAATGCATATATGCAAGAAAAACTAAGGAACAAAAAAACAGTTGAGCGAATCCATCCCATTCAGAGAAATCTGCTTGGTGGCAATATATACCACTACAAATTGTTACTGCCTTTTATATTGTTCATGATAATCTGTAAAACTGAAATGACACTATTCTGGAAGCTGATCCTCTAAGCAATCATTATAGAGAGGGTATATTTATTTGGTTAGGAGCTGCTCAGTTTGCCTGGGCTGCCACAACAAATTACCACAGGCTGGGTGGCCCTAAACAACAGAAATTGTCTCACAGTTCTGGAGGCTGAGATCAAGGTGTCAGCAGGACCACTCAGGGTTGTGAGGAAAGAATCTGTTGTAGCCTTTCCTTGGGCTTGTAGATGGCTGTCTTCTCCCTGTGTCTTCATATCATCTTTCTTCCATATGAAGCCGTGTCCAAATTTTATTTTTATAAGGACACCAGTCATATTGGATTAGGGCCCAACTTAAGGACCTCATTTAAACTTAATTACTTCTTTAAAGACCATATGTATCTCTTAAGGGCTCTGAAACTTAAAAAAGAAAAAAATAATAAATAAAATTTTTTTTAAAAAAGACTATCTCCAAACACCGTCACATTCTGAGATACTGCTGGTTGGGACTTCAACCTATGAACTTCATGGAGCGGGGAGTGGAGGATACAGTTCAGCCTGCAACAGACAGTAATCAAGTGTACATGTACTTGTGTACATGAAGATACACCGTTCTTCAGTGCTTGCCTCCAAGATGCAATTTGGTGATCAGATAATGTAAGTTTTCATACTTGAGGAGCTGAAGGCATCTGCCGTGTCCACGCTTCTCAGGACACAGATAGGGGAGTATTTACTAGAAACTGTGTATACTGGTCAACAGTCTGAAAGGCTGATGAAGACTCCAGCTACTGTTACCTCTTTACCCTCTGATGTGGCTGAGAACCTCAGCACAACACATATACAGGGATTGTGAGTAACTCACCTTTTAAGGAATGGATCACAAGGCATACACTATCTATAAGAAACTATGAATTAGTTTCTAGACTTTGGCCTTGAAAACTCAAATTATTCCAGTTTTACTTATATTACTAAAATCTAGGGTTTCTTGAGTCATCTATAGCCCAATTTTTTTAGCATAGAAATCTATGCTAATATGAAAAATCTAGACTAATACGAAACTGAAGATTAGCTACTGTTTACTATGTTGAGCACCATGGTAAGCCATTAACATGTATTAACTAACTTAACATCCCAACAGTACCATGAAGTGGGAACTCATTATTCCCTATTTACAGTTAAGTAAACACAGAGAGACTACATAATTTGCCTCAGGTTACAAACCATCATGACACAGCAAAGCCAGATTAGAGAACACTCAGCAGGACTCCAAAGCCCATACTCATCCTCTCCTTCCTCCACGAAACCACATTATAAGAAGAATCCTATATTTTAAAAAAGTTTTTATTTTAATCCTTCCTAGAGGAATACAGATTTGAATGAAATACATTCATTCCACAAATACATTAGCAGCAAAACCTTCCCACCAGAGTCCTCTACTCCAGCCCACAGGTTGTGCCTTTGAGCAAGAGCGCACATTCCTTCAACTCTGTCAACTTAAGGATGGGTCTGCTTCTTTCTAAAAGTTGTATGTGCATGGGAGACACAAAAGCCCAGGTGGATGGATAAATTAAGCTGGGAACCTGAAAACAGACCCAAGTGGTGCCATAAGCCTTCTTTACCTTCCAAATCCTCTGGCATCTTCTATGCTTCTCTGGTGAGGTTCTTCAGCACAGAGACAACTGGGAAGGCCTAACTATGCAAACACACCAATGCATTTGGAGTCATTTGTTCTGAATTGGCAACATTTTAATGGTGTCTTGATACTCTCCATAGGGTAAACCCTTCTTTCCCTTCCATGGGCTGAGGTACCACTTTGTCAGGTGAGTCCACATGTACTTGCTGTCAGGAGGCAATCCAGCAGGCATTATTTGGGCTCTCTAGACCTCCAGGTCCCCTTTGTCTGAATGGCTGGAGGCTTTCCTGGAGTCAGAGAGACACAAGTCTAAGCCTCTGACTTTGTAACAATATGTAACCATAACCAGGTGATTTGCTCTGGCTTCCATCAAATCTAGCTTCTTGGATAGTAGCCAGGCTTTTCTCCTTTTCTTCTCCCATCACTACCTATTAACTTCCTGTCCTTTTTAATTTGCCCTCTAGGTACCTGCTGAAAATTTGGGAAGCAAGATCTACCCTAAACTCCCAAGTAGCCAAGAGAGGTTAAGGCAGGTGCTGCTTTAAACTTGTTACCTGCAAAATAACACACTGCTGAGTTCCAACCCATTCTGGGATGAGTGTAAGTCACAAGAATCTGCATAAAACACAATCAGCAATCGGGATGGCTATGGTGCAGGGACCAAGTTTAGAGTGTTGCCAAGTCATAGGACGAGGAGGAAATGGAATAATGGAAGAACTTGCAATAAATATGGGCAGAAGACAGCTCTGATTCTGGCATAAATGCATCTCCCAGATTATCACGTATATAAGAAACAGACCTCAAAAGTTGACACTTTCCTCCCCATTCATCACTTAAAAATAGGATACATGCTCTCTTTTCCCAATGTTTTAAAGTGTTTTCATTAGGATACTCTTCTATAAGTGCTTTATCCATTCCCATTAAGTTTGTTTTGACTACTGGCTGAAAAGAAATCAGGAACCACTTTATATAAAAAACCACTGTAGTGGATATCTGGTTATGTGTTTTTCCCTTTGCATTATCCATACAAAATCGCTTGCTTCTTTTTTCTTTTATTTATGTGCAGAGAGAGACTCATCCGCTGAATATACAGCACCGTTAATCTTGCAGTCTTCTGTCCCCACAGAGTCTGCTAGATCTTCCTCTTCCGAGTCATCCTCTTCTTCCTCCTCTTGTGCTGATGAACTGGAGGTGGGCCCTTTGCAGGTTTTCAGGTGGCGGGTGAGATGATATTTGGTTAGATAAGCCTTTGTACATTTTTCACAGACATAATCCCGTTTTCCTTCATGAGAATTGAGATGCTTCTTTAAGTGATTTGTTCTCAAGAACAGCTTATCACACTGGGGACACTTGATCTGGCGTTCTCTAAGAGGGATACAAGAAAAAACATTTGATTTGGGGTTACAAATGACAAGTGAGACAGACGTTTATTCTTCACAACCTCGGGACTTTATACGAGAAGCTCTACTCTTCTAAAATCAGGCTTTTTTTTTTTATAAGAGATCTATCATACAGAAGTCATAAAACATTTGTATACTTTAAACAGCAAGGCTGATTCTGCCTGTTTTAGAATTCTATGTAAATAGGACCATACTATGTATATTTCTTTTATGTCTTGCTTCCTTCACTCAGTAAGATGCTTGTGAAATTCATTCAAGTTGCTGCCAGTGTAAGTTGTTAGTTTCCTTCTACTGCTGCATACTATTTACAAACATACCACAAATTATCCGTGGTAATGGATTTGTCTAATGGATATTTTGGTGGTTTCCAGGTTTTTTTTTAATCATAAGCAAGACTCCTATGAACATTTCCATACTTGTAAGTTGCTCTGCATTATGTATAACTTTCTCTAGAGTATATATCCAAGAGCAATACAGTTGAATCAAAGGATATGGATATCTTCAACTTTACGAGATCATGCCAAACTGTTTTCCAATGTAGTTGTATCAATATACATGTCAATCATTGGGAATTCCTATTGCCCCATATTCTTACCAACAATTGAAAGACTTGAATTTAAAAACGTTTGCCAGTTGGCCAGTACATAATGCTATCTCACTATGGTGGGTGTTTTTTGTTTATTTTTTTTGAGACAGAATCTCACTCTGTTGCCCGGGTGGACTACAGTGCCGTGGCGTCAGCCTAGCTCACAGCAACCTCAAACTCCTGGCTCAAGCAATCCTCCTGCCTCAGCCTCTGAGTAGCTGGGACTACAGGCACACACCACCATGCTCAGCTAATTTTTTCTATATATTTTTAATTGTCCGACTAATTTCTATTTTTAGTAGAGACGGGTCTTGCTCTTGCTTAGGCTGGCCTCAAACTTCTGACCTCGAGAAATCTACCCAATTCGGCCTCCCAGCGTTATTAAACAAATGAGTTATGTTTTGAAAACATGAGTAAAAGAAAATACAGACAGTAGATGTGAAAATTTTTTTTAAAAAAGCAAACAAGTGAAATCTTCCAGGATGAAACCAAAAACTTAGTGCTCCAAACTTGGCTTAGCTATGTGCAACACAGGAGGCCTCTATCTATCACAGCATCAAGGCAGGAAACAGATGATGAGTCAGCACTTCCAAACCCTTGAGTTGGCAGGCTTGGCTACAGCCACACAACAGCTCACCACCTGAGGCACAACGTCTTGGCCACAGGGTAACTTACTGTGTGTGGATGAGCACGTGCTGCTTGAGGTCCTGCCTCCGCATAAACAACTTGTCACAGTAATCACACTTAAGATTCTTCTCGCCCGTGTGGATGACCATGTGGGTCTCCAGGTGAGCCTTCTGGGTGAAAGACTTGTCACACAAAGTACACCTGTAGTTCTTCTGACCTGCAAATTGACCCAAATTATCAACCTGTAAATACAACAACAGCTGGCATTCCCAAAACAAACAGGCACATATATGTGTATGTAGCAGAGGCAGGAATAATGCAGAGCTGACTGGTAAATGGAACTTTACTTTCTAGGGCTGTCTACCCAGAACAACTCAGAGCCACTGAGTTTGTATTCTGCAACCAAAGTGAGTAATGCTAATAAATATACCTCCTCTTTAGTACCTCTGACATAAATATGTATTATTTTTTATGTTCATAACTGATACATGATATAAAATTTGAAAAAAAAAAAAAATCACTCAAAATCCTAGTGCCCTAACCCATTAAACAAAAAACAACTCATGTATTCTAGAACATGTCTAAAGGCAAACATATTTTTATAAGCTACATTTTATAGTTTTTTTCATATCTTATTTATACATATAATATGACCTCATAAACCCAGGATGAAATAAAATCTGTCCAAGAATGCAAAACTAAGACCCTGCTAAGCTAGGGGTCGGCAAACCCTTTCTTAAAGGCCATATAGTATTTTAGGCTTTGTGAGCCATATGGTCTTTGTTGCAACTACTCAGTCTTAATGCAAAAGATGAGGAAGAAGCCTCCTTTTAAAGATCTGGAGAACAAATGACCCAACCTAGAAAGCTAAAACTTATCAGTTATTTTGTAGTATGCATGAAATAAGTACTAAAAGAAAGGGAGTTTAGAAAATGGAAGTTCAAAAAACAAATCTTGGCAGTGTTTATCAAGTTATATTCAAAGGAGAGAAATTAGCTCTGGCTGGTGAGCAGGGGTGAGCACTAATGAGAAGCTCAGGCTTCTTCTATAGAATTTCCTTCAATTTCATTCCAAACACATTTATCAACTTCCTGATTATTAACTGTATTTTTCCAAGCACTTTCAAACAATGGTGGGGGCACCTGGAGAGTCATCTTAATAACTGGAAGTAACACCCTCCAAGGAACCTCAATTATCTAACCAAGGTTCACTATCCAGTGAGGTCTGCCAAAAGCAATCTGGATTCTTTCTCTGAAAATCGTAACTCCACCTGCAATACTATCCCTCTGCCAGGCCTTTACTACTGCATTTTCTAATTGCTGGGAAAATTCCATTCTGACAGACCAATACAACTTACCTGTATGTATCTTGAGGTGGGTCCGCAGGTTGCTGGGATCACAAAAAGCCTTGCTACAGAAATCACACTTGTGGGGCTTCATACCCATGTGACCCATAAAGTGGACATGAAGTTTGGAAGGAGAGATAAATGCTTGGGGGCACATCGAGCACTTCCACTTCCTTTCTTTGTTGTGTCTTGGCCTATGGCTGCTGCTGTGGCCCTGGCTAGGAATGTGGTTATGGATGTGGCTGGTCAGATGGGCTTTGAACTCTGCGTAAGAATTGCATTCCTTGCCACAGTTACAGAGGTGTACATCTGGGTGTTCAGGAACACCTATTAAAAAAAATTACTCAATGTCTCCTGAAATTTGCTCTTGATGTTAACAATTATTGCTTGTGATTCTCCCTTCTACCAGAATTTCCAATTTGCCCACTACCTATAAAACTGTCTTATTCAATGCTCTATCCCCAGCATCCAAAACAGTGTACTAGACACATACAAAGCACTTGGTAAATACTGGATTATAAGTCCTCTTTCCTAGACAAAATATTTATATTTTTTAGCACACACAAACTCTTACACATCACTTGTAATCATAAAACAGTGCAAAGAGAAAGCCTATGAGGTTAAATCAAATCAAAGGTAATTGCTATACTTCATGAACTTAAATCTCAATGGTACTGGCTCAGAAAGTAGCCTTAGGAACTTCAAAGCTCCAAACGAAAGTAAAAGATCAGTTCATATGAATACTGCCTGGTCAATAACGTTTGGCTTATGAAGAATCTCACAGATTTTAAACACCTCAAATATGAAAGTAATAGATTGCTTTTATATATACAAAGGCACATGATTTGCTTCAGCTAATATGTAAACCATTACCAAAACTTTATTCCTAGTCCTGGTGCTTTTACTATGCTAGCTTCATAACAAACAAGTCTTACATTAACTTACCAATCTGCTGAGCATAATCCCGGCTATAATAAAAAAGCAGTTCATTTTCAGGTGGGATATCTTGTGAGGTGCAGAAAAAGATTTTTCCATCATGAGGATAAGCCACCAAATTCTGTTCTTCCCGATTCCTAAGTTATCACATTTAATAGATCAAGCACATTAATTTTGAAATGTATACTAAACACATCATTCTCCTCATGGTGAAATCCTATATGAAAGCTTAGGTAGAAATATTTTCTCTGGAACAATTTTGTAACTGCCTATACTACCTAAAAGGAGGGACTTGTAGAAAAACAGAATTCTTACTTCCATACATCAGTTGATTACCTTTTATAGTCAGAAACACTAGAGTCTGTTATTGGAAGCAAAAAAAAAAAGGAAATACAATGAAGTCTTAAACAATGTGACAAAAGACACAGATAGCTAGATGAACAAGAATTAACTCCCATAACAGTCTGACAGGGTAACTAATAGCCAGTATAACAAAAAGGCATCCACTTGCGTATTTAATGGTGAATATATTGTTCCTTATTGCACTGGTAAACTGAATAAACAGTTTCATATGTTTTAACTCATAATCACTATTAGTCAACCACTATTGGGGTGAAGAAGTTGAAAATCCTTAGCCTTTAAGTATGCCCAAGTATTGGTGTAATTTGGATTCTTCGATTCTTTCCCATTTCATGCAAAGCTTCCTATTTAAAAACATCTGAACAGTAACTATTTCTCTCACCCAAGACTACTCTTACCTGGCTTTGCGCACAAACATCATCCAATTACATTCATTTTCGTCAGTTGTAACGATGCAGAATTCTAGGACACCGTTGTGGTATATCTGCCAATGGGAAAGCCCACACATGTCAAATGAACTGGCAAGCAATAAAGTACCACACTAAATTCAGTCAACAATCATCTCATTTACTCATTTGCAATAGGTCACAGCTTTCCCAGTCAGTGTGAAAATATAGGATTGCCTTCTCCAACATGCTCATCATTTCACCAACCTCCCTATTCCCAGTAATATGGTAAAGATCATAAAAGACCTACAGTTAGTGCTCAATGAAGAGAATGACTTTGCTCTTGATTATTCACCTTTTCCCTAGAAAAGACAAAAAACTAGTCTACTTGTCTACCTGTCTTAATCACATACTACACAGTAGGCAATGAATGAATGAATGTCCATTAAAGGCAGAGGACCATTCTTTCTCGGTTTTCCAACTGGATCTAGCATTCTTACATTCTATTTTGGACACCAAAACTGAAGTCCCTGATAACAGTGGTACCTTACCTTTCCAATTATCGTAAGACTCATTTTTCCCCTCTCTTCAATTTTGTAAACCTCATTCCCAACACACTGACTAAGATTTTTAGATAAACACATTACAGGAATAGCTGTTTATGTCAAAACCTTGCATTTCTAGCCCCTCCCATTAGAAAACTACAGAAATAACCTTAGCTTCTAATTCTAGAATTGTTTCCCAAGGTAAATATTTGAGGAATGTTTTAGCTGATTACAAAATAAGACTTTTATTATATAAACAAAGTCCATGGCCTCCGCTGCCACAAGTACTTAAAATGCATAAAATGATTATTACCTCACAATATGGAGACTAAAATAGCTTGTCCTCTATTTCCTATAGCTGGTGCTTTGATATATATTATAGCTTGGCTACCAAGAATAATAGAGAGGATGTAATATTAAATAAATGATTGGCAGGTAAATAGCACTGTATCAGTCCTGGCTGATTCTGACTTTATATCACTTTTTAAATACTTCATTATAACAAAAACAGCCAAAAGTCACAGAAAACTTTCATCAACACTGACCTTCCAGATATGGTTAACTGCTTTGTCTGTCCATTCTGCTACTTCCATGGAGTGACTCTGCTGGCCAATAAGAGGCCCAAAGCAAGTCCGCACAGGAATGGTTTCTCCTGCCCATACACCTATCAGTGGAAGGATACCAACTACACAATCAATTATTTAAACAACTAATAGAAGACAGAGAGAGAGGTGCTTTCCCCGCCTGGTCTAACATGGGAGTAGAGAGAAAGGTGCTTAACCCACACAAAGAATCTAATTTTCAGTGAACCTAAGAACTGATACGCTAGCACTCCTGAGAGGTAGCTAAGCCTTGTGTGTCCTAGCCTGTAAGTATACGAAACATAATGAACAGATTACATGGGGCTCACAAGAAATGCTGAGTAAGAAGCGGTATCAGAAATTCTTGGCCAGGCACAGTAGCTCACACCTGTAATCCCAGCACTTTGGGAGGCCGAGGTGTGATGATTGCTTGAGCCAGGAGTTCGAGACCAGGCTAGCCTGGTCGACATAGCAAGACCCTGTCTCTACAAAAATATTTGTACAAAGTAGCGAGGTGTGGTGGTAGTGCCTGTAGTCCTAACTACTTGGAAGGCTGAGGCAGGAGGATCACTTGAGTCCAGGAATTGGAGGCTGCAATGAACCATGGTCTCACCACTGCACTTCAGCTTGGGTGCCAGAATGAGACCCTATCTCTTAAAAAAATAAATAAATAAATCTTGACCCTGTAACTCACTTTTATACAAAAAGAACCTAACCATGTCTTTCCAAATATATAATTTTAGAGTTACTATGTTAAAAAATCCAGACATTGTTCTATTGTACAAATATAAAGCAATTACTATAAAATAAACTTCTAAAATCTGTGCTTAAAGCTCTGCTCTATATTATCATTATCTAAGCTATTCAGTGCTTTCAATAACTCATGCTCAAGCTGAAGCTGAAAGAATAATGAACCTAATGTTATGTTTTCAAAGAAATGGCACAGTAACTCAGAAACCATGCTAAATTCAAATAAGGGTAAGTAAACTCTGGCTGTCTACATTTCTTATTCCTAAGGAGTTATTAGACAATTTATAAACATTGGATCTGAATACCTTTTGTGCCATAAAGTTATCAGTGGTGAATTCCCATGTTTGTATAAAGGAAACTAAATTCCAAGGATTGTATTGTTAGGATAATTTTTAGAGGATGAGAGAGCTGAGAATAGAAGTCAAGGCTTCAAAGACTCAGGCCAGGATTCTTTCCTCCATTCAGTTCTGATTCTAAGAGATGAAGTTTCCCAATATAGTTTTCAACTTAATTTATTGTTATCACCAGTGGACAAAACAAATATTGCCTAAAAGCATAAATATTAAGCCATAAATTGACTTTTTGGATCAAACAAAAATAATCAATAAATTATACACATCCACTTTTACAACTCTATCCTACAAAGGATGGAGAGACTTTATGGGGTTTTATGGTTCCAAGGTCCTTACCAACTTCTGCTCCCACAATTGAGTGGCGGAGAACAAGCTGCTTTGGGAGAGAAAGCCTTGCTCTGCTCTCTATTGGAGTGTCCGGAACAAAAGTCACTGGTCCATGATCAGGGCAGTCTGAGGGATAGGCTCGGTCACAGAGAGTACACCCTGTGGATAGCAAATGTGAGCAACACAAATGGGTTTACTTCAAGCAGGCTAAACTACCACATGGTTTTTAAATTAAATGCAAATTATTAACATGTAACCAGTAAGAAGCAAGGTTCTAGTAGAAATATTCTGATCAAACAACCACTTTCTTACACTAAAATATATAATCACTTTTATACCACTCTTCAGTCTCTAATAAGACATGATTTTTTTCTTTTTATCCAACAGGACTGGTTTCCTATTCAGTGCATAAAAGAAACACTGATTATTACTTTCACAATCAAGTACATTGGCCCTTGCATTAAGTAGATAAATAATACATTTAGATATGATGTTCTAAAGTCCAAAATATCCTAGTTCTGAACTGCAAGAGAAACTAAGTTGAAATGTTTGTCATGCAAAGGCAACATGTAGATGACATTACAAGACAATGGAGTCAGAGCCAGCTGTACCACTGCACTCTTCTGCTTCACTACATAATGCTCAACCAAGTTTTGATGACACATTCTTAAGTCAAAAACAAAAATGCAATCTGCTCTTTTAAAAGGCAGGCAAAATCATATTCTTGCAGATATATTTGCTTTAAACTCTTAATTTCTTATTGTTTACATGGTCTTTCTTTTTACACTGTCACAGAGAGTGCTGCCTTCATATACTATTCTCTATTCTTACAAGTTCACTTTTACCAGCTTATGAGTGTCTTCCATAAATCTTCTTTTGTCTATTCTTTATACTTTCCTTTCCCTCTGTTAAGGAACAGTATTTATGACACTATTAGTAAATAGCTGAGTTCAAACCTTCCAAATTCATTCACAAAATAGTTAGAATACATAAACCACAGCCATCTAAGCGTCTTATATTCTTAAGCAACACATTAGAAACTTCTACTTGTGCCATAAAACAATGAGTTTTCATATTTAGGCAAAACAGTAATAACATTACTTCTTCAACTACTACTTGATTAAAAATTCTTTGAATTATCAGATTCAAGATCCTCTACACACACATAACTGATTCTCCACTGCTCTTAAGGGGAATCACCTCCAAACAGGATATTCAGATTTCATACTGCAAAAAATGCTTAGAAAATTTCTCCACAGAAAATACACACATGGCCATTAAGTACATAAAAGGTGTTTAACATCATCAGTCATTAGAAAAATGCAAATCAAAATTACTATGCAGCCGGGCATAGTATCACACATCTATAGTCCCAGCTACTCAGGAGGCTGAGGTGGAGGATCATTTGAGCCCAGGAGTTCAAGTCTAGCCTGGGTAACAAAGCAAGACCCCAACTCTTAAAAAAAAAAATCACACTACCCCACAATGACAAGCCACTTCACACTCACAAGGATGGGGGGGGAGGGAGGGAGGGAGGGAGGGAGGGAGGGAGGGAGGAGGGAGGGAGGAGGGAGGGAGGGAGGGAGGAAGGAAGGAAGGAAGGAAGGAAGGAAGGAAGGAAGGAAGGAAGGAAATGAAGTGTTGGCAAAAGTGTGGAAAAATTGGAACTGTCATACACTGCTGCCAGGATTATAAAATAACACAAAAACAGTCTGCCACTCCTTCAAAAAGTTAAATATAGAACAATTCTACTACTAAATATATATTTAAGAATATATGTTCATACAAAATCTTGTACATGAGGGTAGTGGTTCACACCAGCATTACTCAGAATGGCCAAAGTAGAAACAACCCAAATTGTCCACCAATTGATAAATGAATAAGAAAAATGTAATATACCCACATTACAGAATATTATTCAGCCATAAAAAGGAATGACATACATGTTATAACATGGATGACTGACAAAAACAATTATGCTAAGGGAAAGTAGCTAGACACGGAAAGCTACATATCATTATGATTCCATTTATATGAAATGTTCAGAATAGGCAAATCCACGATGATTAGAGGTTGCCTGAGAATGATGGGGAGGAAGGAATGGGGAGTGACTACTAATGGGTATGAGGTTTCCTTATGGGGATGATTAAAATGTTTCAGAAATAGGTAGTGGTGATATTTGGACAACCTTGTGAATAAACTACAAACCACTAAATTGTACACTTTAAAATGTATATGTAAATTATATTTCATTTAAAAAGATACACACGTTTAGAAGTAGTTCTGCTTCCCACTTAGGAAAGGATCAGTAGGTTTATTTCCGTCACCTCTTATCATTTGCTAAATTCATGAGCCTCAAATTAATTTCTTTTTTGGATTACAATATTTAAAAATTCTAAATTCAAGACTTCAAAAGGTTAGTACAGGTCTCCCCACTGCCTGGCTTCTGTGGCACCATGTCATCCTGGGCTTCCTCCTGCTCTTTTCTGACCCTCCTGTTCAGTCTACTTTGGCGGCTCTTCCTGTGCTGCTGTACCCTGATATCCTTTGCCCTCCTCTCTTCTCATTCCCCACTCTCACCCCATCCTACTTCCATGGCCATAATTAATATCTTAATGTTCATGATCCTTAAATATTTCCAGACAGATCTCTGAGATCTACAGTCAACTTTTCATTAGACATCTCTAGTGGTTTTCTTACAAACACTGAAATCAACATGTCTAAAACTGGAGTCACCATCACACCTCCAGAAAAAAATTTTAATAATAATCAAATCCTCCTCCGCCTTGCATTATCCCATCTACCTAGTTTTCCATGTCAGAAACCGGGGTTTTCTCCTTAATCCTTTCCTTCCCCCAACTTCATTCTATCAACAAGCTCAACTGAGTTCTATGTATATATCTTCCACTTTTCTTCATCCTAATTACCTGTACTCTAGGTTGGAAAATCACAACCCTTCACTTAAATTATGGCATTATCTTCCAGACCAGACCCTGCTTGCCTCTAACAAATTTATCCTACATTGCAACAGAACCCGACTCCAACCCTCACTCCTTATAACCTTTGACTGGTCTCATTAGAGCCTTTGTATTATAGTTCCTAGTTCTCTTACCAAGTAACCCCTTCTCCTCACCTCTATTTTATGCTTCAGCAATTCTGACCCATTCATGATTCTAAGCATTTATAGGTGCTGACTCCTGTCTTTCTCTCAACTGCCTACATCAGGCATCCTCAAAATACGGCCCGTGGGCCATATGCGGGTGTTTTTGCCCGTTTGCTTTTTTACTTCATAATAAGATATGTATGTGCAGTGTGCATGAAATTTGTTCATAGTTTTTTTTTAAACTATAGTCTGGCCCTCCAACAGTCTGAGGGACAGTGAACTGGCCCCTGTTTAAAAAGTTTGAGGACCTCTGGCCTACATCTTTCTTGTCCTTAAGGTCTATGCTAATGTGTAGGTTACCTCCTCTGGTGAAGTCTTCCTTGACCCTTCCATGGCCTGGTTAGCTGCTCCCCCTCAGGCTACTTTGGTGCCATGCAATTACCCCCATCTTTGCACTTACCATACTGTATTGTGACAGACTATTGACTTGTTTATGCTTCCTATCAGTGTATAAGCCCCTTAAACGTCACATACTCGTTGTAGCCTCTAGCAAAGAGGTTGGCATATAGTAAGCACTCAATACTTTTCCTGCACAAAGTACATAGTGACAATAACAAATCAATTTTTTTTTTGCTCCAGAGTCTTGTTTTGTCACCCTGGCTAGAGTGCCGTGGCGTCAGCCTAGCTCACAGCAACCTCAAACTCCTGGGCTCAAGCAATCCTTCTGTCTCAGCCTTCTGAGTAGCTGGGACTACAGGCATGCGCCACTATGCCCAGCTAATTTTTTGTATTTTTAGTAGAAACAGGGTCTCACTCTTGCTCAGGCTGGTCTCAAACTCCTGAGCACAAGCAATCCTCCCACCTCAGCCTCCCAGAGAGCTAGGATTACAGGTGTGAGCCATCGTGCCCAGCCAAAATCAACTGTTTTATATTGTTGCCCAATGAGAGTTATATGAGTTATATCCCTAACTATGGAATTTATGTGCGTTCTGAGAAAAAAAAAAATAGCAACTTTATATCCTCCTACAGTTTTCCATTGGGTTATAAAAGTAATCTAATAATTTATTTTTGGACTTATGTTTAAAAAGCACAAGGCATGTTGCACAGAATAGCTTTATTGTGGTGTACTCCTATAACTCTCTATTCGTAAAAACTTGAAAAATACCTTAAATATTATTGAGCTAAGTAAATTTATCTGGTTTTTTATTTTATTTTTTTAGAGATGAGGTCTTGCTATGTTGCCCAGGCTAGAGTGCAGTAGCTATTCATAGGCACGATCATAGTGCATAGTCTCAAACTCCTGGGCTCAAGAGATCCTCCTGCTTGAGCCTCCTGAGTAGCTGAGAATACAGACAAATACCACCACACATCACTATGCTTATCTGTAAAACACCAAAATGACTACTTTATGTTTCATTTCTTCAGGAGCATGTTGCAAGAACCAACTAAATGTTTATATATCATTTGGCTTACTTGAAGAAAAGGTACCACATTACTATAAAGGACAATACAAAGGCAAAGAAAAATTCCAAAGTCTAGTACATTCTATACTCCCTCAATCAATGCCAAACTTTGCAACTAAACTTCTTAGGGATGATGACCCTTTTAATCAACATTTCCAAAAGAGAAAGGCTAAACAAACTCACAAATTGAAAACAAGGTTGCCATGTTTTCCTTGTTTGAATTGGAGTCTTCCATTTGCAGTGAAGATGGTACAAAAGAAAGACTGTCTGAAGATACATCTACATGACCTGTCCCCATAGCAACCTCCTGGGTGATGGAGGAAACAGCCACAGGTTCTAGGCTCAGGCCCACTTCATGGAGGGAAACAGATTCTAGGGAGGCGAGGTTGTGTGAGGTAGAGAGTGCCACGCTTACAGAGTTGGTGCTCATGGCCACAGTGTGGATGGAGTCACTGAGGGCACTGTCAGACATCCCGTTGACCCGACTTGCGATGTGGTCTGTCTCCATGACCACGGGGAGCTCCAGGCCATTCCCATGAATGGGTATCACACCACCATGTCCTACAGTGTCTGCTGCAAGGTTGTTGCTCACAGAATCCACAGACAGAGGTTCATGACTTCTGGAGCCATTTGGGATTTGGGAATGCTCGCCTGCAACACCATCCATTGTAAGCTCCTCTGCCATTCCATCTGAAGAGATCGGGCTGGTAACCCTAGAAACATTCTCCATAGTGATTGTCGTGTCCAAGGTCACCTCATGGCCATCATTGGGATGAAGACTTTGGGCACCGTGTGTGTTCACAGAGCGAGAGTCTATTGAAACAATGCCTGGTTCTAATCCAACATTTCCATTGGACTGATAGGGATCTAGCGCTGAAGGGTTATTGGCAATTGATAATGCTGTATTACCATCAACATTTATAGAGTTGGGGTGGATATACTGAGGAGGTGGTCTGTCAGCTAAATAAGATAAAATGCCTAGGAAAAGGAAATGATGAGATATCAGACACGTTTTAGTACATTGTTAAATATAAAGAATTCTAAGTACCAATCGCTCTTTTCCTTACAAATGTAACTAAGTTAAAATAACCCCTACTTCTTTAATCAATAGATATAATAATTTATAAATACCAACATACACATGCCATAATTATTTCTTGTAAAACTGAGAAATCCTAAATTATATACTTTATATAATATATAAATATGTATTATATATTCCTTTGAAGCTGACAAGAAATTAATCATTTAAATGCTGCCTTTAATATATACATAGTTGCAATTCCTGAGTCCTAAGGTGCTAAAATTTGCTCTACTAATTATTAAAAGGTAAAATGATTTAAAAGCAGGTTTTCTATGTGAAAAATAAAATTTAATTTGATGTAATTTTTACTTTATTAAACTATTATAACACATCAATATATTCAAAACAAGTTACAATTGTACCTGCTTTATTAAAACAAACAAAAAATTAACACTCATGCTTGTACGGTTGTGGTGCAATGGTAAATGCTTCCCTGCCAGTAGGAGTATAAATTACTAATACCTCTTTGGAAAGAGAGTGTGTGTGTGTATAAATATATGCATTTTTTTTTTTTGAGACACAGTCTCACTTTGTTGCCCAGGCTAGAGTGAGTGCCATGGCATCAACCTAGCTCATAACAACCTCAATCTCCTGGGCTCAATCGATCCTACTGCCTCAACTTCCCAAGTAGCTGGGACTACAGCCACCATGCCTGGCTAATTTTTTTGTATATGTATTTTTAGTTGGTCAATTAATTTCTTTCTATTTTTAGTAGAGACAGGGTCTCGCTCAGGCTGGTTTCGAACTCCTGACCTTGAGCAATCTGCCCGCCTCGGCCTCCCAGAGTGCTAGGATTACAGGCATAAGCCACGATGCCTGGCCAATATATGCATTTTTTAAGAAACAAGTTCTCATCTTTCACCCAGGCTAGAGTACAATGCTGTGAGCATAGCTCATTGTAGTCTTAAATTCCTGGGCTCAAGCGATCCTCCTGCCTCAGCCTCCTATGTAGCTGGGGCCACAGGCATGCACCCAGCATACCTGGCTTGGAAAGTATATCTTTTATGAACCTCAAAAATGTTCATACCCTCTTGTGCAAAAAATTCCACTTAAGATAATCTTCTCTATGCATTTTGTAAATATTATACACAAAGAAATTCTTGAGAGCTTTAGTCACAATGGTAATAAAAAACTGGAAAAACCAAACTGTCCAATAATAAAGCCTGATATAATTAACCACCAAATATCCATTTAGTAGAATTTAACACATCATTAAAAATAATAAGTATGAAAACCGTGTAGTGGCAAAGGAAAATAACTACGTAAAAGCAGAGAAAGATATTAAGTGAAAAAAATAAACAACTGTTTAGAAAATATGGTCTTAAGCCAGGCATGGCGATATGCCTGTAGTCCCAGCTATTGGGAGGCTAAAGCAAGAGGATCACTTGAACCCAGGAGTGCGAGTACAGCATGGGCAACATACTGAGATCCCATCTCTTTTAAAAAAACATGGTATCAAATCATGAAAAACAAGCCAGGCATAGTGGCTCATGCTTGTAAACCCAGCACTTTGGGAGGCTGAGGCAAGAAGATTGCTTGAGCTTAGGAGTTCAAGGCTGCAGTGAGCTATTATCATGCCACTGCACTCCAGCCTGGGCAACAGAGTAAGAACCCTGTCTCTAAAAAATAAAAAATTATGAAAAATGGTCAAAACCTATATTGTATACTAATAAAAAAGATAGGAAGGAGGTACAGCAAAAAGAGAGATGATGGGAATAAGTGGTTCCCCGCTTTTCTTATTTGCTTAATTTTCTCAAATGAGTATATACTTTTATAATAGAATAAAAATTCAATAAACTTTTAAAAACAACACTGCAGCAGGATGCTGTAGAGTTGACAGGAATTTTAACTGCAGAATTATGAATATTGAATGAAGGAGATATTGAAGGAGAAAGAAGAGAAACTATTTGTGTGCAATTAAGAAATTTAGTTTAATCAAAATGCCATATTAATGTGCTATATGTACATTCTAAGAGGAAAGGTACAAAAATACAAAGACATATTTTCCCATCTAGAGATTAGCGTCTAATAGTGACAAACAGAAAAGAGTGTTATTCAAATCTTCAGGAACTGAGGTTATAAGCTGGATCTATCCTTTTTTTTCTAACATCCCAATTAAGTATAACACTTACCAGGTAGAATGGTTCTGAAGTAACTGCTCTCCAGGTGAGGGTAAGGTGGTGGAGGTAGGGTGTAGTTTCTTTCAGGTAACCCACACATCACCCCTCGATCCCCAATACCCATTGGGAGCATCAGAGACAAGGCAGAAGGCAGAGAGCTCAGGGAAGGACCCAGGTTTGGAATTGCCACTGGCAAACCTACAAAAAGATGTTTTTTTCCAATTAAAAGAAGGTAGCATTTAAAAATTCTCTGTATATCCACTGGCTAAACTCTTAGAAAGGTTTCTGCACATGGGCAAAAATCTCACCTAGTAACCCTTTTCAGATAGATGATGCTGTGAAAAAATCCACAAACAGGACTAAACAAAGTAGTCCTAGTCTCAAAGTTAGTTCTCTAGTTTTAAACTGCCAAGTTGATGCTCCAGTTGTGTGTATTGCTATTAAATACCAAAACATTTCATTTACAATTAAAAATCTAGTTTAAATACAATTTAAGAAAGCAAATTATATACAGAAAAAAACAATGGAAGAAAACAAAATGTTCACAGGAGTGGTCCCTGATTAGTGATATTATGACCTTTTTTTACATTTTAAAATGTTATTATATCTTCCATTTTATATGGTGAGAATCTATCATTTCTACTTGGAAAATAATCTAACTTAAAATTAAATGTAAAACTATTAACATACATACACACTTTCATACAATCTTTTGTATATATGCTGCACTTCACAATTGGTAAAAAATTTAAACCTTGGATTATATCTACTTGCAAAGTGTTGGAGTGACTCTTACTGTGCCTAAGTATCATGATGAATACTCACCAACTTGGGCAGTGCTGATTTGCATATTTTTGCCAGGGGCAATATTTTTTAATAGGCTTTTCCTCCTTAACAAGAGTGTCCACTAAAAGGAATGCCTAAGAGACAATCAAATGGGTTAACAACTAATAAAATTTTTTAAAAATTTCTTTTGTGGACACGTAAAGGAATGTGAAGAGACTCTAGGTCTTATTTAACTGCTGCAGTTTACTAATTAAGCAGGTAATTCTCTACAGAAAACTATTTAAACAACTTATAGAATTATTTAAAATACTCCTAAACATTAACTCCTATTTTGATAAAGTCCAATATAATATCACAGATCCCTGAGAATAGCTTTTCCATTTCAATAGAAAAAGAAAATGAAACCAAGAAGAAAAAAAAGTTTTAAAAGTACAGTAATGGGGAAAAATATGTTTTTCCTACATTATTCTCCTGAGTGTGGAGGCTCATTTGGACTTCCACATAGCTGCTGCATCTCTGGTACCACACCTCTTTCCTCATAATTCTAGGCCTGGCACATTTGCAGTTGCCACCATTCAGTTTCAAATCCGGGAGAAAATAAAGCTCAATTCCCCATGTTTTCTGGGAATAATTATTAGAGTAACTTTAACTGATTCTCTTCTATTAACCCAGGGACAGGGTGCCAAGGTGTGAACCAGACAAATGGGTAGCCCTGTATAAAACACCAAGTTCGTTACAGCTCTGGACAAAAGGCTACGAACCCAAAAGAGGACTATCAGAAAAAACTGCTACTTCTATCCATTAGAACTCTAATATTCTACAAAAATGTTTTATTTCATTATCTGCCACATGTGGAACCACCATTCAGGCCTGCTTGGCTTTTCTCTTCTACCCCTAAAGGGGCTCTGATCTCCTCTAGGCTCCATTTAGAACTGGTACCACAGTTAAGTAATAAAATGCAGAGGCTCTCTCTTACCACTCACCTGGGGCAGGGATGGCACTGTGAGTGGGTGAGGCAGCCAACCCCAGGTGACTTCCTGAGACTGGCAAGGCATTGCTCACAGAGGATGAAGTCAGCTGCTCCATCCCCACTGGGCTCAGGTTCATTTCATTCATCCTGGAAAAAGAGTATACACAACTAGTTATGCAAAAATTACCTGTGACTGACTCTGTATTAAGATATTGAAGAACCTGAAATAATGCAGATGGGGAAATGGGACTTGGGCAACTATTACTTCATTTTTATGCTCACAATTCTCTTAGATAGCTAGTGCCATATTCTTTCTACTGATAAGGAAACTGGGATTCAGAGACATTAACTAACTTGTCAATGTCACATAGCAGAAACAGGATTTGAATTCAGGTCTACCTTGATCCAAACCCTATGCATACCATCTAAAGCAAAATTTGCAATCCTTAGAGCACACTAGCAATGAGAGTTTTTTTTTTTTAGAGACAGAGTCTCACTTTGTTGCCCAGGCTAGAGTTAGTGCTGTGATATCAGCCTAGCTCACAGCAACCTCAATCTCCTGGGCTCAAGCGATCCTACTGCCTCAGCCTCCCGAGTAGCTGGGACTACAGGCATGCGCCACCCATGCTCGGCTAATTTTTGTGTATATATATTTTTAGTTGCTCAATTAATTTCTTTCTTTTTAGTAGAGATGGAGTCTCGCTCAGGCTGGTTTTGAACTCCTGACCTCAAGCAACCCGCCTGCCTCGGCCTCCCAGAGTGCTAGGATTACAGGCATCGGCCACTACGCCCGGCCGAGTTTGGTTTTTTAAATCACCTGAGCTTTTCCTTTTACAATATTTATTTTCTCCAACTGGCTTATACTTCAAACCAGTAGTTTTTTGGGCAATTTGTTTTAACCTACTCAAGGAACTTTTACCAATCATTTACAAGGAGTTAAAGTGATAATGGGTCTCATTCAAATGATCAATGATATTGAAGAAGTGCCATATCTTTCCCATGGAAAAATTGCAATGACATTTATCAGTCAACCTGAGAACAGTAACAGCTAAAATTTATTACTCCCTTACCATGTGCTAGGCAGTAGGCTAAGTGATTTCCATGTAACTCTCTCTCCTAATCCTCATAATTCCTATGAGGAAGGTATTATTCTTAATCCCACTCTTTTTGTTGTTGTTGTTGTCCAGATAGAGTCTCACTCTGTCACCCTGGTTAGAGTGCAGTGGTGTCACCGTAGCTCACTGCAACCTCAAACTTCTAGGCTCAAGCGATCCTCTTGCCTCAGCCTCCCAAGTAGCTGGGACTACAGCTGCATGCCACTCACACCAGGCTAATTTCTCTACTTTTAGCAGAGACAGGGTCTCACTCTTGCTCAGGCTGGTCTCTGAACTCTTGGAATTCAAGTAATCTTCCTGCCTTGGCCTACTAGAGTGCCAGGATTACATGCATGAGCCACCTAGACCCACCTTAATCCCATTTTAAAGATGAGGAAACTAAGATTCATAGAAGCTAAGAAACTTAACCCCAGAATCACATTAACTAGTAAGAAGCAGAGCTGTGATTTAAATTCAGATACGTCTAATTTAAGAAACCCAAGTTCTTTTTTTTGTTTGTTTTTGTTTTTGTTTTTGTTTTGCTTCATCCTCTGGACTGAATGAAACCCAAGTTCTTAACTACAATAACAAGATAATTACAGTAAAAGAACTGCATTGCTTTTACACAGTTCCAATACATTAGGACCTATTTATATTGTGGGATATATTTAAAGTTCCACACAGACCTGTTTCCTGCATTATTCTATATCTATAGGCTTCACCTTTATCCCTGGCCAGGTATGCCATAAAACTAAACTCTCAAACATTAATGAAATGTACAAGACTAATCCAATACAGTACCCTATATAGAACAGGCACTCTGTTTTTTTTTTTTTTGATTGGATAGAGCGAAGCAAATGCATTATCCTTATAAAAAAGACAGCTAGAAACACACAGCAAAAGAGGTATACCTTATGAAGGACAGTACATTAATGAAAAGACTTTATGCTATAAAAGAATGCAAAAAATCCTTGTAGCCTAAAGAAGACACAAGTACATTATTTTTGAAAGTTTCAGGTTTGAGTTGGTTTAAAACAGAGTTTTTCTGTAACTCTTTATTGCTACAATCCATAACTAAAACACTACAAGCACTGGAGCCTACAACCAATTGATTACAATAATTTTTTAAAAGTACAACTAAAAATCTGTAGCTTCAACTCTTATTCTGAAAAGTCCTGAATATTAATCTATGTATCTAATCTTGAGATAAAAATCAAAATGGTGTGTCTAGGTTGAGTCCTAGGCTTTCTCAAACCAGTTCAAACCAGAGTTTATTGCGAGAAGCTCAGCAGATTTCTGCTTTGTTGTGAGTCATTAAAATGTGATGACCTCAGCAGCCATAAACCAAAGGTAACTAGTATCCCACAGAGAGAAGGCAGATGAAGGAAGGGAATGTACCAACAATCTTCATAAGAGTTTCTCATTCTAAAATGCGATTCTATTCTAACTACGGTACTCATATGGGATTCTAAGAAGCAATCTTGGAAGAAGGGATAGAATCAAGATACTAAGTTCTCTCTTCTTCCTAACGCATTTGTGGTAAAATCATTCCCTACATACTTCCACATTTTATGTATGTGTTTCTAATTAAACTAGGTAACCATCTGCCAGTTTCTGATTTCATATCTTTTTCTTACAATGACATATAAGAAGCTAACTAAAATACAGCCACTTTGCAAAATGCAATGGACAGTTTCAATATTGTCAATAAATTCATGTCTTATCGTCCTCATGCTAAACATACAGGCCTTGGACTTGAGTATGCATGGAAAGAAGAAAAAAAGTAAAAAAAAAAAATAGAAAAAATTTTAAAAATTTTAAAAATGTTTATTTTTTTAATTTTTTTCCTTTTTTTTTCACATTTGGAGTAAATTAGGATGAATGAAGAGCACATTCAACCCAACACTAGTTTCTGGATTTCTTGTTCCCTTAGGGACAGAAACTCATTTCCAATCATACTATAACCTGCCCAAAGGCGCACACACAAAGGCATCAACTCTGGACATTCACTTGCCAAATGGTTTCCAAAGACGTCACCAGCGCTGAAGTCCACCTCCCCACTCACCTGTGATGCATCTGCTAGGGGCCAAGTGTCAGAGAAAAGAGCGCAGGGGTAGCGGGGAACCGGCATCTGGGTTTGCGTTCCAGGGTCACGTGCTACCGCATCTTGTCTACAACCGCTGGACCAACGCGGCCACTCGTCCCCGGGGCCGGCCGGGGCCGCCCGACTTCTCCCGACGGCCGGTGGCCGCGCACCCCGCCATGGGATGGGGCATGCCGGGGGACACCCGAGGCCTTTCCTCCAGAAGCTTCGGGAGGGGGGCTGCCCAACCTGGGGGAAAGGAGGGACAAGAGAGGTCACCAAAGACGCGAGGAGGATGCAGCCCCCGTCTTCTCGCCACCGGAGAGCCCGAGGCGCCGCGGACACCGCCTCCCAAGGGCAGCCGACTCCCCCGCCGGCATGGGGCCCGCAGGCCGGGCAGCGCCGCCTCGCCCCGCCCCGGCCGGGCCGCGCGCAGCCCACCTGCCGGCTGCGCGGGGGGCGCGAGCGCCTGCCCCGCCGCTTTGTTCTTCATCCGGGCAGAGCTCGCCTGAGGCCCTCCCCGCCCGCTCGGCCCCCTCGCCCCCGGGGCCGCTCGCCTAACGTTTCCCGCCCGGCCCGACGCCTCCTCAGGGCCGCACCCTCGGCGGCGCGTTTCCGGCCCCTCAGCCACTCCGGGCGCCCGCCGCTCCGCCCGCCCCCCTCTGCGCGTGCGCACCGCCGAGACCCGGGCCGGAGCGGTCGGGCCGCGAGAGGCTCGGCGTGGAGCGTCGCTTCTCTCTGCGGCTCGATGGAATCGAGCGCCGAGCGATCGACCCACAGTTGCTAGGCGACCAGGGCTGCTGGTGCGCGCAAGGGGTGTGTTCTCAGTCGCCTAAATACCGGAGACTCAGGGTTTCAGTCTTGAGGACATTACCCTACTTGGGAAGCGTGGGTCCACACAAACCCCCAAAACTCGAAGTAAAGGATTTAGCCCAGAGAGTTAGCAGTTTTGCCCAGGAGGAATTGGGATTATATCCCGAGTTTTTGTCGCTGTATTTACACTTGAAGATTGTCCAGTTTCCCAGTTTCATGTCATAAATGGTGATTGGTGTTTTATACAGATTTCCTTCCCCTTCTCTCTTTGCGGTTCGTTCTCTACTGCGTGCCAGGTACTGTGCTGAATGCTGGGGGTGCTGGGACGGCTTGAAAGGACAAAGGCCCCAAGCTCGAGAGGCGGGGACCTCGACACTGCGCCGCGCTGCCGGGCAGCTTCCGCGGCCCGCCGAGCAGCACGCCCGGGACTTCCTCCTCTCGCTCCGTGAGCGCTCTTTGCAGTACATCTCGAACTCGGGGTTACAGAAGAAGACACAGGTCCTCACCTTCAACTGCTTGCCGTCTAGTGGGGACTGGTGAATTTTGAAAATTCAATCTAATATGCAAGAGCAGAGATACACACAATTATTTTGGACGAGAGCCAGGAGTGGCGTCAACTCTCAGTGTTTCCCTTCCTTCACTTCTCAGCAGCAGAAAGCACATTCCGGATGAGGAAACTGAACGTTGGCAGGTCACACTGGTTTCACTCTCCGTTGACAACAAACAGAAATCTAGACCAAGAAAGTCTTCATATCACAAGTGAGAGACAGTATTCCTTGAAATACCACTTCAAACTTGAGGCCTAGAGGATGGTGATGTATCTGATCGAGGGCTGAATGCTCGCTCTCCATTGGTGTCCATTCTTTTTGAATAATTTTGTTAAGTTCAGAGGTGTACATAAAAATTGGGTCAGATTAATATAAGAGCTAAAACTATAATATTGTATAGAAGAAAATATAGCCAAAAATCTTTGTGACCTTGATAGGGCACAAAAATCACAAACTATTAAAAACTTGACAAATTGAACTTCATCAGAATTAAAACGTTTGGTCTTGAACAGATACTGTCAACAAAATGAGTCAAGCCAGAGACTGGGAGAAAATATTTTCAGAACAAATATCTGACAAAGGATTTTTATCTGGGATATATATTTATATTTTAAAAAACCCTTTAAACTCAATAAAAAGAAGACAACCCAATTTTTTAAATTGTGCAAAATAATTGAACAGCTGCTTGACCAAAGAAGACATATAGATGGCAATTAAGCACACAAAAAAATGTGCAACATCATTAAGTAGCAAAGAAATCCAAATCAAAGCAAAATGAGGCAATATTGTACACCTACTAGAATGGCTAAAGTTAAAAAGACCAACTATAAGAAATGTTGGAACAAATACGAAGCAACTGGAAGCCTCACACTTTGCTGGTGAGAATACAAAATGCTACATCCATTTTAGAAAACGACTTAGCAATTACAATTCAGTAATTACACTCATATGTATTTACTCAAGAGAAAAAAAAACATATGTACAAAGATATGTACACAAATGTTCATAGCCACTTTATTTATAATAGCCCAAAACTGGAAACAACCCAAATTTCCATCAACTGGTGAATGAATAATGACTGTATACAGTATCTATATTGTGGAATTCTACTCTGAAATAAAAAGGAAGAAGCTATTGATACATGGAAGGACCTTAAAAGTGTTATGCTAAGTGAAAGAAACCAGACACAATAGACTACGTATAAATTTATTTATAAGAAATTCTTTAAAAATCAAAACTCTATTGACGGCCAGGTGTGGTGGCTCACGCCTGTAATCCTAGCACTCTGGGAGGTGGAGGCGGGCGGATTGCTCAAGGTCAGGAGTTCGAAACCAGCCTGAGCAAGAGCGAGACCCTGTCTCTACTATAAATAGAAAGAAATTAATTGGCCAACTAATATATATAGAAAAAATTAGCTGGGCATGGTGACACATGCCTGTAGTCCCAGCTACTCAGGAGCCTGAGGCAGGAGGATTGCTTGAGCCCAGGAGTTTGAGGTTGCTGTGAGCTAGGCTGACGCCATGGCACTCACTCTAGCCTGGGCAGCAAAGCGAGACTGTCTCAAAAAAAAAAAAAAAAAAAAAAAAAAAAAAGAAAGAAAGACAGTGAAATAAAGATGTAGGGTACAATCAAGAGTAAACCTTAGAGATAATTGAAACTAAGACCAGATCACAGCTACTAACATTTTTCCTGGATGTCAGAGACAGATGCAGAGGGCAACTTACCTTTAAATGTCATCTAGCACTAAAGACAAGGACAGGATTGAAGAATTGCAAGGAGACCAGTACTAGAACTATACTGCCTAATGTAGTAGCCTCTAGCCACCTGTGGTTGTTGAGCACTTGAAATGGGCCTGGCTTAAATTGTGCAGTTATTTTAGACTGGGGGAGTAAAAGTGATTGTGTTAAAGGCCCCAATTCTTTAGCCCTTTTCCTTTCGAGAAAAGGTGGAGTCTACTTTTATGCCCCTTGAATCTGAGTTTGCCATGCCAGACGTGTGCTGAAGCTCAGCTCAGCTCAGCTTAAATCATTGACACTGGGCTCAGGAACTGAATAGATGCTTATTGTTTCATCAGTGGCCATTCTGAGGAGGCTGCCCTCCTTTTCTTGGCTCTGTGTCTCTGCTCTAATCTTTGGAAATTAATTCATGGGTATAGAAGATCAAGCACTAGTACTTGGAACATTATTTCTCTTGGATTTGTTTCAAGTATTTTGTTTAACTCCTCTAAAGGCTGAAGAATTACTTGTTTTCTAAATGTAGTGGATGTGGAAGTAGCACTGGGGTGATCTTGTGTGTTCTTTTAACTCTTAGGACTTTATTTATTTATTTATTGAGGCAGAATCTCACTCTGTTGCCCTGGCTAGAGTGCCATGGTGTAAGCCTAGCTCACAGCAACCTCAAACTCCTGGGCTCAAGTCATCCTTCTGCCTCAGCCTCCTGAGTAGCTGGGACTACAGGCATGTGCCACTGTGCCCGGCTAATTTTATATATATATATATCAGTTGGCCAATTAATTTCTTTCTATTTTTAGTAGAGACGGGGGTCTCACTCTTGCTCAGGCTGCTTTTAAACTCCTGACCTTACGCTATCCTGCCTCAGTCTCCCAGAGTGCTAGGATTACAGGCGTGAGCCGCCACGTGCAGCCAACTCTTAGGACTTTAAAAGCAGAACACACATGGTGCCGAGCTAATTTGATTTCTCAGATCTGAAGGAACTATTCTCATTTCAGTGGAGGGTCACCCAGGCTGTAATGAATCCTGACGCTACTCAGGCTTTGGAGTAATGCCCCTCAAGACTGAACAGAATAAGAAATTAAGGAGTGAGTGGAAAAAAACACACTCAAACGTGTTTTTTCTATTCTCTCACTCAACACAATCAGCACAATAACACAGAAGACTCTGTGCCCAAATGTGTGGGAGGTTTTCCCCACGTACCAAGCAAGCAAGCAATTCTGTAGCAGATACCAGCTGGGTGTCCTCTAGTTTTGTTCCAACACTACCATGTACCTGGACCATCAGAGTCCGAGGGTTGAGGGCTCAGTTCCACAAGACTTGCTCTCCTTCCCCATCAGATACCAGTTGCAAGTCCGGGCCTCTGGAAGTTCTGACTGACTGGCTTCAAGTTGGGGTTCCCATGGCCCCCTCTTTGGGTTCAATTAATTTGCTAGAGCAGCTCACAGAACTTATGGGAACAAATTTACTGTTTTTTTATAAAGGATATTACAAAGGATGTGGATGAAGAGAAGCATAGGGCAAGGTATGGGGGAAGGGGCGTGGAGCTTCCATGCCCTCTCTGGACATAACCACCTTCCAGGAACTTCCAGGTGTTCAGCTATCCAGACACTCTCTGAACCCTGTCCTCTTGGCTGTTTTATGGAGACTTTATTGGAGAGGCGTGATTGACTACTGTGTAGAAATGTAACTGGAGGAAAAGGATGTGATCTAATACTAATAGACTGAGTGGGGAAACCCAGCAAGGCCTGTCTGTTCAGATTCTTTCTGGCCTCTCTGTGAGGCATTCCTTCCTCCAGGGTATGGGGCAGGACCCCTTTTGAACTGAGGGTCTTATGACCCCCAATCAGAAAGGCAGGGGAAGATTAGAGTCCTTCCTTGGGCTGGTGAAAGGTCAGAAAGAGGGAGATTCTATTTTCTGAGGCCTAAAGCACACTCAACACTATAACAAAGGATTGTAACAAGGATATGGGAGTTATGAGCCAGGAACTGTGGATGAAAAGCTATATACATACCTTATATATACCTATATATACAAATATATATTAAATATAATATCACAGAGAGAATGATTTGTAGAGTTTAACCAAAGAAATTTTACTGTTGATATCTTTGATTTTTCAACCTACAGGACAAATTTAGTTAAGCTTTGGGTTTTAATTTATGCCTAGTAATTTGATAATGGGGGTATTTTTTAATTTGGGGAATGATTCTGTTCCTAATTTGTTTGACTGCATAACCTCCGGCCAGCTATATTAGAATGGTCTTTATTAGAAATAGGAAAGAGAATCAGGAATGAGTTTTTGGCCTGGAGTTCACCACACTTTAGGGTTAATTTATTAATAAACTGATGCACTGTTCTGATCCATTTTATAGGTTTTATAGCTCAAAAATGAAACTACCCATCTGTGATTCTAGGAAGACACACAAAGGTGCAATAGTTGTCATTGAAGCATGGTGGGAACTTGAGAGAGAAAAACAAGAATGTTATTAATGTTGGGAGGCTGAGGCAGGAGGATCACTTGAGGCCAGGAG